GTTTCTCCAGAGAACTCTAATAAACATTCCTTACAGAGGATATTTATGTCTTTCAAACAGAATAATGGCATTGGTTTACATATACCAAGTAATGGAGAACTTCTAATTTTTTTTCATTAAACCCCTTCCCCGGCAGAAACGTGTATACTGGTTTTCACAAAATGTTCTTTTTCAGTCGTCGATGAGTATACTAAGAAAATATGGTAAAAAAATATGGTTTATAGGAAGACGAGTTACAAACTGTTTTCATAACCAGCATCAAAAATACTATATAGAACCAAAATAAAAAAATTAGTCTGAAAAAGAAACGTTTTTAACAAAAAAATTGTTGGGGAAGGGGTTAATTGAGCGTAACAGCTTTGATTGATGTTTGTGGTCTCTGTTCTGTTCCACTGATCAATAAGCCTATTCTTGTGCCAGTACCAGGCAGTTTTGATTATGGCGGCTTTATAGTATAACTTGATATCTGGTATTGTGATTCCTCCAACTTTTTTTTCCTTATCAAAATTGCTGCAGCTATTCGGGGTCTTTTTTGATTCCATGTAATTTTTTGGAGTATTTGTTCTAGCTCTGTGAAATATGCTGTTGGTATTTTAACAGGGATTGCATCAAATCTATAGATTGCCTTGGATAGTATAGACATTTTAATGATGTTGATTCTACCAATCCATGAACATGGTATATTCTTCCATTTGTTTATATCTTCCTCTCTCTCTCTTTTCAACGTCCTGTAGTTTTCTGAGTACAAGTTTTTTACCTCTTTGGTTAAGTTTATTCCTAGGTATCTTAACTTTTTTTATTGCAACGGTAAATGGGAATATATATATATATTTTTTAGTTTCTCTTTCTATAAGTTCATTATTGTTGTATAAAAAAAGCCATAGATTTCTGGGTGTGGATTTTGTATTCTGCTACATTGCCGAATTCATTTATTAAGTCTAGTAGTTTTTTGTTGAAGTCTTTGGGGTTTTCTATGTACAATATCATGTCATCTACGAATAATGACAGTTTAACTTCTTCTTTTCCAATTTGGATGTCTTTTATTTCTACTTCTTGTCTGGTCACGGTGGCTAGGACTTCCAGTACTATTCTGAATAAGAGTGGTGAAAGAGGACATCCCCTGACTTGTTCCTGTTCTTAGGGGAAAGGGTTTTAGTTTTTGCCCATTGAGTATGATGTTCGCTGTAGGTTTGTCATATATGGCCGTTATCATGTTGAGATAGGCTCCCTCTATTCCCATTTTGTTGAGAATTTTTATCAAAAACTATAGGACCGGTGCATGAAATTCATGCATG